TATGTAAAATGCTTTCAAATAAAGGAGAAATTGATCTAGTCATACCTATTAAGTTGCACTGTTTGGATGAGAAAATACTAGACTTTGAACTGAATCAGCTTTCTATGATTTAGAAGCAATTTAGACAAAACCTTTGAAGAGCCTCACATACTGCTTCCAGCAAGTTCTAATTTGGTTTCTTGTGAGCTCTGCTCCCTGGACCAAGTCAGGGAATTTCCCAGTCTCCTTGCCTTTAAAATGTGGCTCATCACTGTTCTCAAAACAGCCTGGTACTGGCACAAGAACAGACATATAGATCAATGGAATAGAATCGAGAACCCAGATATCAACCCAAATCACTATGCTCAATTAATATTTGACAAAGGAGGCACGAATATACAATGGAGTCAAGATAGTCTCTTCAATAAATGGTGTTGGGAAAATTGGACAGACACATGCAAAAGAATAAAACTAGATCACCAACTTACACCATTCACAAAAATAAACTCAAAATGGATACAGGACTTAAACATCAGACGGGAAACCATAAAAATATTAGAAGCATCCACAGGCAGCAAAATCTCAGACGTATGCCAAAAGAACTTCTTCACTGATACTGCCCCTAGGGCAATGGAAGCTAAAGAGAAAATAAACAAATGGGACTACATCAAAATAAAAAGCTTTTTTACAGCAAAAGAAACCATCAACAAAACAACAAGAAAGTCCACGGTGTGGGAGAACATATTTGCAAATAATACCACTGACTGATAAAGGTTTAATCTCCAACATTTACAGACAGCTTATACAACTAAACAAAAGGAAGATGAATGATCCAATTAAAAAATGGGCAATGGACCTAAATAGAATATTTTCAAAAGAAGACAGAAGGAAGGCCAAAAGGCACATGAAAACATGCTCAAAGTCACTAATTGCCTGAGAGGTGCAAATCAAAACAACAATGCGGTACCATCTCACTCCTGTCAGAATGGCCAACATCAACAAATCAACAAACGACAAGTGTTGGCGAGGTTGCGGAGAAAAAGGAACCCTTCTGCACTGCTGGTGGAAATGCAGACTGGTGCAACCACTATGGAGAACAGTGTGGAGTTCCCTCAAAAAACTGAAAATGGAACTCCCATTTGACCCAGTAATCCCACTTCTAGGAATATATCCCAAGAAACTAGAAACACCAATCAGAAAGGATATATGCACCCCTATGTTCATAGCAGCACTGTAGTTCATAGCAATACAATCTAAATAGCCAGAATTTGGAAACAGCCTAGGTGCCCGTCAGCAGATGATTGGATCCAAAAACAATGGTACATCTACACAATGGAATACTATGCTGCCATAAAAAAGAAGGAATTCTCATCATTTGCAGCAACCTGGATGGAATTGGAGAATATCATGCTGAGTGAAATAAGCCAGTCAATGAAAGAGAAACACCACATGACCTCACTCATTTGTGGATGATAAAGAACATTATAAACTGATGAACCAAAAGATAGATATAGAGACAGTAAAGCAACAGGCAGACTGTCAAATTACAGCGGGGAGGGTAGAGAGATCTGGAGGAGATAATAGATCAACCGAAGGACTTGTGTACATGCATATAAGAACAACCAATGGACATAAAACTCTGGGGAGGGAGGGTGTGTATGGGAGGGAAGGGGGCAAAAAAAATCAATAAAATATATTTAAAAAAAATAAATAAAATGTTGATTAAAAAAATGTGGCTCATGCCTGCTTTCAGAGTTGTGCTCATCAGATAAGGCCACGGCCCCAGCGATATTAATATTTTCATTTAGATGAGAGTGTTCAAAGCACAAGGACCTTTACATTATGAATTTCCTCATGAATATTAAGCCAAAGGTTGTGCAGAAATATGTATTTCTCTTCCTTTTGGAAGTCTTTTTTTTTATTTTGTGAAAACGGAGGCATTATTTCATTTTCCATAAATATTTTCTATAAACAGAGGCCTTCTCCAAATGGTTTGCACCATTTTCATAAGTTTGAAAATGTAGTCTTTAAATTTTATTAATCCTATTACTCTTCTTTAGTATTCATTGTCCCCCTACCCTCATTAGTATCCATTTTAAGAGTGCTTTGATTTCTCCTAAATATCATTCAAGAATATTTCTAAAGATTGAGATTAGGTGGTAAGGACTGGAAGTATTTATCCTCCTTCTGATATTTCCCCCATATTTTCATTTACTATCTCATCCCCACAGCACTCGACTTAAAAGCTGATCTACCACGTGCTGCACGCACATCAATGGTTGTGCGGGATATACCTTGTTTGTGCTAAAATGAGATAACAGATGTGAAACTATTTGGGAAGTTTAAAAGCTCTAGGTATTATTATATAACTGTGAGTGCAACATTTATTTATTAGGTGTATGGAAATAGGGGGACATTTCAGAACTTCTGAGCTAATGTGTCCAATTTAGAATTACAGGCTCAAAAAGCTATGTTTTAGCATAATAGGAACCCACTGTTTAGATGTGTTTACATCATTACTTTCAGTGGTTTAAAAAATGCTATTAGTACTAAACTCAATTTTGCTTCTCACATATTCATCTAGGATAATTTGAGGCAGAATACTGCTTTTATCAGAATAAAAGCAAACAACAGCCACAACATTTGCAAAGCCCTTGTATTCCCAAACAGCTATTTTTCATATTGGCTTAAACGGAAAACAAGTAATTAAACGCCACTCCATTGTTACTTAAAAAAAAAATATTTGCCAACAAAGGAACTTAATAAGTGGAATGGACATCAACTTTGTCTTAATTTAACTGTCAGCATTGTGTTTCCAAGTGAAGCAAAGCATTTCCAAACATTTGATCGGCAGCCCTTAAGAAGGCAAAACTCCCATGAATGACTGCAGCCACTGAGAGCACAGACTTCTCGCCTACGGCTGGAATTCCAGATCATCCAGATCACTCCAGTGGAGGCTCAGATAGGCATTGCTAGCAGGTCAAACTCAGGGCAGTGAGTGTGACATGCTTGCAGTAGAGTGTTTCCTGAAAACGAATCTGTCTTGATGATTCTCTTTAACTGCATTTCCCTGTCCATTAGCAACAGGAGAGAAACCCTGAAGATGGACTTCAGGGACTTAGGAACAGACTGAGTAGGCCAGTGGTCGGCAAACTCATTAGTCAACAGAGCCAAATATCAACAGCATAACGATTGAAATTTCTTTTGAGAGCCCAATTCTTTAAACTTAAACTTCTTCTAATGCCACTTCTTCAAAATAGATTCACCCAGGCATTTTGTGGAAGAGCCACATTCAAGGGGCCAAAGAGCCGCATGTGGCTGGCGAGCCACAGTTTGCCGACCATGGATCTAGGCTATTCAAAAGGTACTACTGGCCCAGCTTGTGACTCTCATAAAGAAAGGAAGGGAGAAATTTTGCTAGTGCACCCCAAGAGTTCATACATAGGCGGAAGAGTAATTAATTTCCTCTTTGGAAAAGCTGTACCATGTGGAGAAATTTCATCAATTATATGAGCAGCCGAGATGGGTGATTCTGTTCCTGAAGTTGACATAGTCAATAAGAGCTAATGTTCATCAATGCACAACCCTCCCTTACCCAGCAGAGAGAAGGGTTCGGAAAACACTCCGTTTGCATTAATACATAAAGACTACATGGTTCAAGATCAAAACCTACCATGTTTCTGAAATGCTGTCTTTAGAGAGATTTAACCACCGATGTGATCCACAAATTCTAACAAGTAGCAGGAAATATAAGAACAGCTTTCAGGAAAAAAACTCTCAGACTCGTTATTTAAAAGAACCTCAGTGAAAACAGTAATAAGCATTACAAGACAACACGTAATAAGAGGGAAAGGGAAATTATTCTTTTCTTGTCTCTCCTACATTTTCCATCTTCCTTCAATAAAGGATTCTCCAAAATCCCAACGTTGTCATTCCTTGCACAAAGAACTCTGAGAACAATTCAGAATTGAGAGAGCTAAAAGGATACACAATATATCAGGCGCCCCCCCCCCCTTTTCCCCCCCTGGGGCATTAGCAGGCAGAATAGCCATAGTTTCCAGAACAATCTCTTCATATTTTTCTTTTGTGAGTAGCAGCATAGAACGTTTGCCAAAGGCTTTAAAAAAAAAAAAAAAACAGAATCTCACCAAACAGTTGAGAAAAATATTTAACAACCAAGGCAAAGCAATTACAGTCAAATTTTCACCTTGGAATTTTCATCTCAGGTGTTAGAGGCAGAGAGAAACCTTTCAACACATCAGTCTGAACCTAGAATGAGGATGAAAAGGGTCAAATCTGCCGATCGTTGTCAACAAATCCATATCTCTGAATCGCAGGGCTACACGGCAGGGCTAGCTGTCCACATAAATGTGCATTTAAAAACAGCATCACTGTTTGGCTACCGCTCACTCTTGTCTCAGAGCGGCCATTTGAGGACAGGTCAGACCTGGACATCTACACCAAAACAGGGAAAGGTCTGAACGCGACAGATCTCTCTTTTCAGTAATTAAGTGTCGGGCAGCGTCGTCATTTTCAGCTACTCAACTTCACAACGTGAGATGATGCAACTAGGAGTCCCAATAGAACACTTCTATGCAGACGTGTAAACTTGGGAGGAAATTAACAACACTATCGGAATTAACACTTTCCCCCGATTTCTGCTTCATCATCCAGCCCATTTACATGTTCTCATCTAGACTTCTATTATTTGTTTCATTATGATTTCATTCTTGCCCAGTAATTATTCCCTTTAGGGTAAAGACTTTCTAGATCCAATGAGAGCGGACATAATTTATTCAGTCAAAATCAAAACCAAGCATCTGTGTATACCTCCCATTCCCAGAAAGGTCCGTTTCAATCTAGGTCAAGTGAGCAGGGAATGAAAGCGATGGCATACAACGGTCAAATTCCCACTGGTGTGGACAACAGGCATCTTTAGCTATTGCTCGGTGTTAGAATACATTTCGTGATACGGGTGAAAGGCAAAAGAACATTACCGAGGCATTTAAGTAACACCTTACCTGGGCCATCTGCCTCTCCAGTTTTGATCGGGGAATATCATCAAAGTAGTTTTCATTTCTTCTCCTCCTTGCATCGCCCTGCATGATAATGTGAGGAACGTCTAGGGAGCCACCAGTGGTGTAAGTGCTTTGGCTAAGTGATGGAGACAACTGAGGAGGAGTGTGATTACCACTGGGTTCCTGAATGGAAATACATCATGAAGTAAATACCACATTTTGGCGGCTAACCTTTGGTTGCAAAATTGTGAAATACCGACAAGACACACTGTGGGGGTGAGGGGTTCCTTTTTGAATCAACGGCCAAGGTGTGGGTGGCATCCCACCGTCTTGTGAATGGCATGATCTAGTCAACACTTCTCCCCCCTTTAAGGATTTCAGGTCAAAGGGTTAGAGTACAAAGAGTCAGGCTGTTTTCTCCAACCAGCACAGTGGGTAATCTCAGGAGAGAGGATGCAGAGGTTAGGCAACCTTGACACAACCATCCTCCAGTGGACAGTGTCCTCATTACGGTAGATGCCATGACGAGGAAGCTAAATGGGAACCACCTGGGCTTGATCCTCCATCGATCAGTGGTCTGGCAGCCAGTTGAGGAAGAGGACACAGTACGGAAACAGAACTTGTCACACGTGCAGACAGCAGGGCAGTGCACAGAATGACTTTCAAAGGCAGAGGTGACTTAAGCTGGGGAAAACTGGTTGGAAGTAAGATAAGAGCGGGTGGACAGCTGGGCTCTAGTGTTTGCAAGGAAGAGGAGGATTGGAGGGTGCTGATTCCCTGGCTCCCCGAAGGTTCTGGACCACCTTTGATAAATGAAGATTCTGCATTTTTTCTTGGGGATCTCTACTGTTCTCCTGAATCACCTTCAGGGAGTCAGAGGAACGGTTGCAGAAGGGAGGGGAAAGAGAGTCGAGTAAGCTGCAGGGAATGCCTCCTCTAAGCAGTCATTCCAGGAGGGCTATCCTGACGGTGCCTACATCTTTCTCCCTCTTTGTGCAGCAAAATGAGGGTAAGACAATCATCTCTCTCTAGCCTCATTTTCCTCCCCATTTATTTGAAGTGCCTCTTATTGAGGGAGAAAAATAGGTCCTAATTCTACTTTCACTGCTCCCAACGCCCTCAACTAGCCTCCGAATGTCCCAACTAGTCTCCCAATTGCCCCAATAATCACTTTTCCTAAGGGCTCCCTCCTGAAGCCAATTCTCTTTCATTTCCCGAAATCTTTGTGCATTTTCTTCTTTAAAACGAAATCAGACTCAAATCTTTCGTTCTTTCATTCATTTTTTTTAAACAAAATCCAATAGCTTTTATTGTTTAAAGTATTACATGCCTCCTTCCCCCCCAATTAACCGACCCTCCTCCTCCTCATCTTAAATCTTAACAGCTCCTCTCCTGCCCGACCCTCTGCCTGGCTGCCGGTGGTTATGCTGTTGGCTGAAATTCACTGATAAGAGGCATTCTGCTGCATCGCATCGCTGGCCGTTCTGCTGAAGTGCACTGTGTGCATCGGTTACAATCGCTCCCTTTTCTGATGCTTGCAGAAAGGCAGTCAGAGGCACGCAAGTGCAGGAGCAGATTCAGAGCACGGACTTGGAACTCCCCAACTGCTCACGGACAGCCTAGCTTTTGGATGAATTTTAGAAAAGTTCCTTGAGGCCTCAGATACCCGGTGAATATGGGCTGCCCCTCCCCCTCCATTTCGCGTGGCAGTCCTCTCCCTCATTTTCTCTTCCTCTAGGCCTTTTCCTCCTTGTCCTCCTTCCCTTCCTGCTATAGTCCTCCCTGCCTCCTATGGGGTTTCTCTCTAGTTGCGCTGCCCCATAATTCTAAACTACTGCTGAAATAGTTTATTAAATATTTAGTTCTAGCTTCTCTCACCTTAATGTTTGAAGTGGGCAAGGCTGGGCAATATTTACTTCATAAAAGACCGAAGACCCTAAGGTCTTAATTTTAAATTGACTTTCACTTAGCTGTGGCCTCTGATCCATTTTCTTTCTTTCAGTGGGTTTGAGGAGTCTGACAGAAATCTCACTTCCTCCCTCTTGGTGTAAATGGGAGTGTGGGATGGCAGTCGTGGGGGGTGGGTTCTTTAAAGGTGGGGGTTTGGCCGATGTGCATTTAAATCTCAAAAATACATATTTAACCAATTGAGGGGGGAAAAAAATCTTGTCATATGAAACACAATCAGAAAAGAGATTGTTTTTCGGATGGGAAAGGGATGCTGTGTGCAGCACAGCCTGTACTTCCTGACTCACTGCTTCCGTCATTTCATGTTCGTGCCCCACATTAAGTTTGGGGGCCAGGAGTGGAGTAAACAGGCATATCCTGAGCACTTACCCTGAGGGTGATGGAGCGAGGGGGCTTCTGGGGCGGGTCCTCGTGCAGCCTGTCTCCCAGTGACGCCAAAATACGTTTCCTGTGGCCGATCAAACTGATTTTTAAAACCTGAAACGACACACATTTGGGTGATTTCATCGGAGAAAAATGACTTCTGCACGTTCTCTTTTGTACAAAGCTACCTCTCCCCTGGGACAGATGTGAAACCAGTGTGGGCCTTCGAGTCCAGGAAGGTAGAAGGGCCATGGAGAAAGTGGTGGGGGGAGGAGGAGAAAGTGGTGAGGGGAGGAGGAGAAAGCAGAGACGGTCCCCCTCCGCTCAGGCTGTCCCAGTCCCAGCCTCTACTCGGCAGCCACAAGACCTCTCAAAAGGCAAGCCAAGTCGTCGCCCCAACCAGCTGGACTCTCTGATTGCTTGCTGTTGCTTTTAAAATAAAAGCTCAGTCCTGACTGCTTCCAGGCCCAACAGGGCTGGCTGCGCACTGCCTGTGTTGTGTCCCTGCTTCTCTCCCTTCCATTCAGGATGCTCAGTCACACCGGTTTCTCTGTTCCTTGAACGTCAGATACACATCCTCGCCTTGGGGCCTCTACCCTGTTTGTCCATCTGTCTAGAAGGCCCCTGAGAGGTCACATGACGCCTCTCACCCCTCTGGACACTGCTCAAGTGTGGATCTCCTCACAGAGGCCCCCCACATCTTCTCACGAAAGCACTGTGACCTCAGCCCCATCACACTCTATTCTATGCTGGGTCTCCCCACCCCTCTTTTAATATATCTTCGTTGATTTCAAAGAGAGGAGAGGGAAAGAGAGATAAAAACACCAGTGATGACGGAGAATCACCAGCTGGCTGCCCCCCTACTGGGAACTGGTCCGGCAACTTGGGCACGTGCCTTGACTGGGAATTAAACATGACCTCCTGGTTCATAGGTCAACACTCAACCACTGAGCCACATCGGCTGGGCTGTGTCCCCTTTTGCTCATTCTCTGAAATAACTTCATTTCCAGGGTTAGCGTTTCTGTGCCCCTCTCCCCCAGGTAAGCTTCCTGAGAGCAGGTTCCTGGTTTGTCTTTATGCCTTATTTTCCAAACTTCTAAAGCAATGCCTGAAATAATAGGGGCTCCCAGAACAGGAGAGAATGTATGTTAATTTAGATAAAAGTTGTAACGTAGGGTTACAATCAAGCACTGTGACTTGGGGGACTCACGGTCTCCCCCGGATAGGATTTTAAGTCCAACAGAGCTGCAAAGGACACCTTAGAGAAGAGATGACACAGGGAACCCAGACTTGAAAACTCTCAGTCCCTACCCTTCCTGCAGCTTTGCACATGCTGCCCTTTCTATTGTTCCAACACTCCTATCTGGAAGCGCTTCTTCTTGCTTTACAGGTGAGAAGACCGAGGCTCAAAGTGGTTCAGAGTGTTAGAGAGTAGGAATTTCTGAGCACTCCGGAGAGGCCGTGGACTATGCCCCAGATAGGGTTGTCATGGCTGACACCAGGCCAGGCCTTGAGACACCGTTTCATGGCCCCTTCCCCTTGCACCTCACAAAATAGCCTTGCAAGATAGAATGGTTCAGCTTTCTAAAGAACAGGATAACCCTGTAAACAACATGGCCATCAATAGCATGGGCCTGACATTATTTGGGAGAAACTGTTTTGTCTTGGGTTGCTTACTCTGCAAAAACAGGATGTGGTTCATGTGCTTAAAAGGTGGTCTTGCACAAAGGGTCGGGGCTGCCCTCTGACCTCCCTGTCTGGAAGGCAGTACAGCCGCCAGCCAGCAATAAAGGCTCCCTAAATTTTTATTTGGTTCGGACTCCAGTGGTCTTTACTCGCGTTCCCTCCACAAGAGTTGCCCATCCAAGGGCTAGTGTGAGGTGGCTCTGGGATTTGAATCACGTTGGCTGATTCCAAAGCTTGTAAGTTGCAAAGCTTGGGCATATCTCCCAACATGAATACAACATGTAGATGCATTCACAAAAATGTATTTCCTCTGTCCCTGCCCACGTGATGTTCCAGGATATAACAACTCATTTTTGGTAACTAGTTCCCAAAGTAACTAGTTTCTTAAAAATTTGTTCTCTCTTTTCAAGTTTTCAGGGGGGAGGAGTGAGCATGTCTTTGGGCATTTCATCCTATGCTAACCTTGAATTTATATTTGCCTTGTTGTCACTTCGCTTATTGGCTTTTATGCCTACATTTATTTAGATTTTAAAGTAGCACTTAAATTCGAATGTCCATATACACACACATACCACTGATTTTTATAAACCTCCCAGGCTGATGAGTCCTGTTCTTTGCTGTTTGTTTCCATAAAGCAGGTCCTCCTCTCAGAGATCACATTAGTCCACGTTCTCTGCACCATCTCCTCCTCCCACACAAATGCTGAAGGGGCGCTGAAAAAACTGCTCCCAATACAAACAAATAAAAATTGCCCACAATATTCCAGGTATAAGGGAACCATGGCTTTCCATGTGAGCAGGATACAATTTTCTGCTTTAATCCCCCCTGAAATCGCATCTGAGGTAGGGGTAAGTAGGGACAAAAGCATGCCCCGGCTGTAAAACCTCTTAATTTTGTCATAACTGATAGTTCAAAGCTCTTTGATCATAGAAAGACGGTTTGAATGATTTCTCCCTAAATTACTTATCTTACAGTTGTCCATGCAGAAGCCCATTTGCCATGCGCTGCCCACTCACAAAGCCCTGTGTACTCTGCCTGCATTCGTATTAGTCAGCCTGGCATTTCGCTACCTGGAGGAGCTTGGCAGTTTCTGCAAATCTGGAATTTGACCATAAACTCCTTCTTCCAGATGATTTATAAATATGCTAAGTGTGGCTCCAATGCTGCTTACTTGTAGGCAATGTTGTTTATGCAATCCATGGAAATGCCTTTAAAATATTCTTGCATTGATTCTTTTTCTTTTCTTTTCTTTTTCCTTTTCTTTTCTTTTCTTTTTTTTTTAAGCATCAAGATCAAAGAATCTCCCAATTTCAGAAACTCTTTTCAAATGTGTTTTGTAAATCTAAAACACTACATTTTCTTATTTCCTTTTATTCTTATTTTCCATTACTTTGCCAAAGACTTCTATTGGATATAAATTCATTCCATCAAATCCCCACTGCCTTTCTCCCAGTAGGAAACTGGATCTGATGCTGATGGTGCTACCCTGAGCTCCTGAGTCCTGCTAAAAAACGCTTTTCATAGTAATACAGATGTTCAAAATTATTTTGACAAGTAATGGACAATAAACAACAAAAAACTGGTAAAACTGAGCTGGTGCAACCATCTTTGCTGATTCTACTTTACTCTCCCAGCTCAACTGTGAGCAAGTGACATGGCTCCTGTGGTCTCTGTTCTCTCACCTGTAAAGTGAGAGCGTTCATGTCAATCTCAAGTGTTGGTGGGAAGATGAAGTTCTAAGCATAACCAGCATAGTGCCGGGCACAGAGAAATGCAACCTTCCTGGTGTTCTTATCCTAGCTAATGGACCCTGAGGATGCACAGAAATCCTCACCCATTAAACAGACACTTGGTCGTTTTCATAGTTAGTCATGTCAAACAAATTCACTGGTGTTTTTCATGAACAGGAGTGGCTAACCTTGGAAAAGCAGTGATAGGAATGGATCTAGTTTCTAGCTGTTAGTTTAACTCTGGATCCAATCTAAAAGAATGCATGTTATTCTACACACACCATTTATTCTCTGATAGGAGGTACTCTGAGCCATTCTCTGGAGCTCCATTGCTGTCTACCCAGAACTACGCAGAACTACCCAGAAGAAGATGGATGGATGGATGGGTGAATAGATAGAATAAAAAATTTACAGTGATAATTCATATCAAGAACATTTGAGTAACTTTCCTTATTTATTAGAAATAATCCCATATCACAGATGATAACTATTATCCTCTGAACATTTGCTATGTTCTACTTCTATGTTCTAATTGTGCTAGAAACTGTGCCAAGTGCACTATATATGTGTACAAACTTCTCAATCTTTAAAAAAAATAAACATGATTATTCCCATTTTAGAGATGCAAAACCTGAGACCCACGGACACTGAGCACCTTGTCTGAGGCCACACTGCTAACGGCACTATGGCTAGGATTTGCACCTGACTCAGCTTGCTCTTCCGCACTCATTATGCTCTTCTTCTAGGTATTAACTTCTATGCCTTAGGTCCGTGGTCAGCAAACTGCAGCTCGCAAGCCACATGTGGCTCTTTGGCTCCTTGAGTGTGGCTCATCCATAAAATATCACAGCCTGAGCGAATCTATTTTGAAGAAGTGGCATTGGAAGAAGTTTAAGTTTAAAAGATTTGGCTCTCAAAAGAAATTTCAATGGTTGTGCTGTTGATATTTGGCTCTGTTGACTAATGAGTTTGCCGACCACTGCTTTAGCTACACTATTGTTTTATATCATGACTTGAGATGGTGCTTTTTGTTTTGGGTTGTCAAGTTCAAAACATTTATACTGGGTCTTGACCTTCTGGAAAACATTAAAATTATACAGCTTTAATCTTGGACGAGGATTACAGCAGTGTTAAAGCTAGGTCAAAGGAGCCCAGGCAGTTACCCTACAAAGTTCCATGTGAATTGCATAGACAGGTGTCCCCCGCTTTTTGAAAATTCGCCCTATGCCATTTGGCTTTCTACAGACCTACATTAGTTTCTATCCGTTGCTAAGTGAAAGCAATCTGAAGAGGATGTTTACTTTTACGTAAAAAAGGTGAAAATGGGAAAAAGCATTCAGTGTTTGTTTTGCATTATGGAGGCAGCTGCACCCTGAGCAGCCAGAGAGGCCCCCAAGCTCCTTCCGTGGGAACTACACTCAGCATCTCAGCATCAACCACCACAGCTTTGAGCTGTCTGTGCGCATCTGGGCTTTATCTCCGTTAATTTTGTGCATCTGTTAGCCAGATGTGTCCTAAGGTAATTTCTTCTTTGCTTTAAGCCACTTAAGGCTTAAGAAAGGTCTCATGGGAATGTTCTACTTTCTGATAGTGGCGGAAATCTGTATAGACAAAGACCAGACCATCCTCATCAACCCAAAATTCAATCCAAGTTGACTAATAGTAGAGTGGTAGGAAGGGTGCCATTTGGCTTCAAAA